GTAGATCACCAACTGTGCCAGGCACTGTGCCAGCCAGGCACTTTCATCATTAAAAATAATAGTAACGATAGCAAACATTTTTGAACCCTGACTGTGTGCCGGACACCGGGCTAAGCTGTTGACCTGGGCTAACTCCTTGATATCTTCATAACAACTTCACGGGGAAGATGTCACTACCATCTTCAGGATGAGGCATCCGAGCCTCAGGGCGGTCGAGTATCTCACTCACAGGCACATCCTCAGTGGGTGACAAAGCAAGGATTTGTACTCAGGTCTGTTTGCCCTGCCGCTTGTACACACTCAGCTGTGACACACCTGGGAGAGAGAAATGGCCAGAGGAGAGACCCAGACAGAATTCGAGGGGTCTCAAGATAGGAGCAGGCCTTGCCAGTGGGGGCTTCCAGGAAGGGTTCCTCAAGAAGATGCCATTGAGGTGGCCCCTGGAAAGCAGGCCTCCAGCAGAGGGGACCCCAACACACAGAAAGGGTCTCTTTGGGTGACAGCTCCCACAACTTTGGTTGTATGTTTGATACAAAAAAGTTGCCATTGGAGGCTCCCAGTGGGGAGATCGGGCTGGGCATCAAACAGACCTGGAGATGAATCTTTTCTGCCCCTGTTACTAGTTGTGTTGACCATGCACAAGGTAACCTTTTCCTAGCCTTGATTGCCTTATCTGTAAAATGGACATAACAGTGACATTTTACCTCGTGGGGTTTTATTGTAAGGATTTCATCAGACACGTGTGTAAAGTGTTTAAACACTGTTCCCCGGCACACAGCAAGGGCTCTACAGATGTGAACAGTGGTGATGGTGATGGTGATGGTGATCAGTGCCACACTCTTCAATTCTGAGGAATCTTGATTTAAAAAAGAGGTCCACCTTCCCAGCGCTCTCTGGGCTCTAAGCATCCTAGATTGAGCACTGAACAAATGAACCAGTGGGCACTCTGGGCCCCAGGGAAGAGGGCCCTGAAGACCGAAGGGTAGTGGCATCCCACACAGTGGCTGCAGTGGGGAGTGTGTAGGAAACAGAGGCTGCAACAGAATGCTGGTTGGTTGTTTCCTTGTGGCAAGCGAGGGCAGTCCTGGGGTCCCCAGAGTCAGAATGGGTTGAAGGGTGAGCCAATGCTTCGGTTACATCTCTCACTGACCCTTTACAGCAGCCCCATGTGGTGTGTTACGAGTTCCGTGTTACTGATGAGGAAGCAAGGAAGTAACTGGCCCAAGGTCGCAGAGCTGGGAATTGGCTGGGCAGGACTCTGAGGCAAGGCCCCCTTTCCCTCCAGTCCAGTATCTGGGCCAGGCTGGACTAACATGTTAAGGGGTCAGCTCAGGAGTCCAATGGGCAGACTATCTCAGTGGTTCTCTGGAGTCTGTCCTCTCCTCTCCCACTCACTGCCCAACTCTGAGCCCTTGCAGGAGTCTCCCATCTGGCCTCTCTCCCCATCCTCTTCCTCCAGTCTCAGTTCACACCTCACTCAGGTGAAGACGCACCAGGGAAATTGGCCATGTCCTTCCCTGGGGTAAAAGCCTTCCATTGCCCACAGGCCTGCTCTCACACTGGCCAGTGCTGTCAGCAGAGGAGGCAGCCATCTTCCTGCAGTGACAATTACACTTATTTTCAAATTATAACACATATATGCTGAAGACTGGAATGTAAAATGTCCAGGGATTTTTCTCAGAGGAGGAGCTGTTTGGGGCTAAGCCAGCAGGCCCTGGCACACTGGTACCCGCTGCCTTTCCAGCTGTGCTCCCCAGATGCCTGGGTGTGCTCTGTGCTCCAGCCACAACTGTCTTGAAGCCTTCCTTATAGCCAGTGTGACTTACTGCCTTTCTGACTAGAATGTCTTTCCCTCCTCCATTTTAAGCCTAGAAATCTCCTAGTAATCTTTTTTTTTTTAATGGAGGTACTGGAGATTGAACCCAGGACCTCGTGCATACTAAGCATGTGCTCTACCACAGAGCTATACCCACTCAATTTCATGTCCCCTCCTCCTAGAAGCCCTCCCTGATCCCACCCCTTCCTTGTAAGGCTGCTCACTCGGCATCTTGCTCTCCCCTCTGCACAGCTTCTTACCACAGGCTGCTGGGACCGGCACTTTGAGAGATGGCCTCTCTAGGAGGTTATGAGTAAGTTAGGGTCAGGGAGTTCACCATGACCTCAGCCTCCACTATTCATTCAACACACACTCAGAGCCCCTCTCTGTGCCAGACCATGGGTTCTGGGTGCAGGGATGACTCAATGTGTCCTCAGAGGCATTCTGACGAGAAAGAGAGACAAACCATCCATTCATTTATTGATTGATATATTAAAACAAACAAAAAGCAAAACCTTTAGCTAAGCCTCGACTAGGCCAGGCCCTCTGCTTAGGGCTGAGGATCCAGAAAAGAGCCAGACCTGTGCCTGCCCTCAAGGGACTCCCAGTCTGGCCAGTGGCCAGTGGAAACCACCAAGAGCATAGTGAGTCCGGGGGACTGGGTGCCAAGGCAAGGGTGGGGTGCTTTGCTTTTGCTTTGTTGCAGATGACAATGAATGAATGAATGAAGTTTTCTTTTTCTATTCTAGGAAACTTGTGAGGTTTTAACCTTGAATGAACTCTAAAACAAGGCACCCAATAAATGACTGATCAATTAATTAATTGAAATGTCACCCAAGAAGTTGGTAGCAGCAATAGGGCTATATTCTGGTCTCCACCACCCTGGACTTTCTCAGTGGGAAGCAAATCTACCCTGACCATGGCTGCCTTGAGGAAACCCTGCAGCTCCTGGCTGCAGAGCCTCCTGCAAATTCACAGTAAAAGGCAGCAGCTCTCAGCCTGCTTCCCAAGGGAGTCGTGAGCATTAATTAGTTACCATTGGTAAAGTGCTCTGAAGATGTGGGGGTGTATAAACATGGCAAGTCATTAGGCCTCTCCACACCACTCTGCTCTACAGTCAGGAACTGCTAATTGAGAAATAATTAACACCTCAGGGTGCAGAGGACGGATGCCTGGCTTTTCCAAGATTGGAAGGGATGTAATAACGTGCAGGGAGAGCAGGGAGAAATGTAAGGCTACTTTGGATCCCGAAATACATTGATGATTATTTATGTTCTGTCCCTAGAGAGGAAGCATGGAGACTATTGCCCCAGTAAAACCTTTGGGATTGCACTCTTCGGAGAAAGCCCCAACCACAGTGCTGGGCTGCAGAGGCCGAGCGATGTTCTTAGAGCAAAACGGCTCCAGTCCAGCCCAGGTCTGCCTGGCCTTCCAGCTGATGAGCGGATGCCCCTCGTGGGGCCCATCAAGCTGTATTTCCCTCAACTGTAAGACTGGGATGATGATGACATGCATCTACCATCCCCCCGCTTCCCACCAGGTTGCCTGGTGCCCTTCCTCCAGCTCAGCAAATCTAGCCCAGGCTGCACGATAGAATCACTGAGGGACTACAAAGTGCTGATGCCCAGCCCCACCCCAGATCAATGACCAGCATCTCGAAGCTGGGGCTGGAGGAGGGGGCGCATATGATGATTCCTAGTGCAGTCAAGGTTGAGAACTGCTGCTTTGGCCTGTATGTCAGGCACTGTGTTGGGAGCTGTGGGAAATCAAGATGTAAATCCTACTACACCCCATGGTTCCCACACACAGGCTCATCGCTTCCTAATTCTACGTCTGTGAGTGTCCTGGACATTCCACCCACTCCCCCTGCCATTCTTGTGCTGAAACCCCACTCATCCTTCAGGCTCAGCTTCCTCCTTGGGGAAACACTCCTTCCCTACGCTCCCACAGGACTGCTCCAATACATCACTGATCACACAATGTTGTTCCTGGCAGATCCTGCAAGGCTGAGAGCCTCTTGGGGTCAGTATCAGAATCCCCAGTGTCTCACACTGGGTTTGGTACACATTAGGTGCTGCATAAACTATGGATGTTATCAGTTAGGTAGAGTTATATGGTATGCAGCTCCCACCTCAGGGCACTCCCATTTGTTGTTCTCTGTGTCTGGAACATTCTTCCCTCAAGGCTCTCTCATATCTTTCTGGTCTTTGCTAAAATGTCACCTTCTCCACCAGGTTTTACCTGATCCTTCTATTTTAAATGGCAACCACTTGACCTCCAACCTCGTCCCTTCCCTAATTAATTTTTCTCCATAGCATTTAACACTGTCTAATAGATCCAGTCTATATAAAATTTTTTAGATTTTTAAATTAATTAATTAATTATGGAGGTACTGGGGATTGAACCCAGGACCTCATGCATGCTAAGCATTCACTCTACCATTGAGCTATGCCTACCCACCCCCTATATAAAATTTTGATTGATTTGTTCACCATGGAGTTTTTGTATGATTTTATTTTTTATTTAAAAAATTTTAATTGCATTAAAATATCATTTACCTTGATCTTTGGCCTCCTTTTAAATTTCACTGTATTGGTTTATTGACTAGAATGTAAGCTACGCTAAATCTAAGGAACTTTGTCTATTTTGTTCACCATCTGACTATCTACAAGGAGCTGGTAGTAGTAGCTGCTCAAAAAAATGTGAATTAAATGTGAATTTTGTGAATTAAAGTTTGATTTAGTGTCTTAAAGACTAAAGAAAGGTGCCTCATTTCAACTGTTTAAATTTTTAAAATTTATTTAAATTGAAAGCCTGTAAAATCATAGGGTAGATTCTAAACCACATTGCCTATCGTTGTCATAGTTACCCTATCACCAGCTATTTACCTATTGAAGAGTTGGCCGGGCCCTGGCAGTGAGAGGGAACACCAGCTTCAAAACCCAGGAGATCGGCCTTGATCGTAGAGTTAAACCTCCCTAAATCCTAGAGGGCACTTCCGGGACGGTGATTTACTCAAGGCAGCCAGACCAATCTATGATCACGTTCTCTCTTCTTGGCTGTTTCCGGCAAACCTCTCACTTGCGTGTAGAGAGGGGTGGGGCCAGTACCAGTGAGTGCGGCTTTGTGATTGGCAGGGAGGGAAATGGGCGTGGCTTGTTGCGGGCACACCCCTGGCGCAAGCGCACTGGTCCGACGCGGAAGTCGGAGCGCGGTTGGCGTTGGCTGGCGCTGTAGTCGGTGAGCGTGGGTGACAGTGAGGGCTGAGGGGCTGGCGGGAGACTGCGGCGTGAAGGAGGGCTTGGTTCTGGGCGCAGAGACCGAGGACCCTGGTGTCCGTTTTCCCATGTGCATCCTGTCCTGGTATTGGGGAGGGGTCTCAATCACAAACTCTTGGATAACACTCGTCTCCTAGTCTGTTTTCTTAACGTTATGAAATGAGTGCAGGACTTCCCTTGTTGCCGCGGGTCGTTGTGACTGGGAACTTTTTAGAAATACAAGTTTTCTGCCCACACTCAGACCTACTGAATCAGAAACTCTGAGGGTAAGGCCCCGCAGTCAGTGTGTTAAGCCCTCTGGGTGATTCTGATGGTTGCTTAAATTTCAGAACCACTGGACTGCTGTAAATGGAGCTTTTCAACCCAAGTGGAGAAGGTAAGGGACAGAAAGGATAGGGTGGACCTGAGAGAAATCTTGGAGACAAACTCATTCGTTTTAGGAGGAGTCAAGGATGAAGGAGTTTCTGGCCTGGGCCGTGGGCCTGAGGTGGGACCTTAAGTAATGGCACCAAATGTGAACCTGCACTTTTCCACGCAGTCACATCAGGGCTCTGTGGCTGTGCCTTCCACCCTTTTTCAGGTCACAGGCCACATAGGAAATAATTATATTTGTACAGTGCCCTGGAGAAAGGGCTGAAGCTGCTTGAGGTTGGAGGGGACCAGCTGGAGGCTGTGAGGCTACTGAAAGCTGGCGGGAGCCACCTGGGGGATTCCAGCTTCCTAGAACTGAGAGGAGTCAGTAACCCATTCTCAGTGTACTGCCGGGGAGCACCCCCATGGGATATGCTGAAGATATGAGGTGCTTACAAAGTCTGGCAGGATAAATAAAGAACCATGAAAGTTCATACCCTTTGACTCAGTAATTCCATTCCTGAAAACCTCCTGAAAATTTATTGTAGATTACGTATAGCAGAAAATTGACAGCTCTCTGGAGAATCGTTTTTAATCTAGTCAATCAGTGGAATGTTGTACTGCCCTTAGGAATGTGTGAATATTTTATAAAATCATACTGAAAGCATCATGCTCATTCATGAGACAATGTGTAGTAAGCCTCTGCTACGTGCAGAGTGATGAGCAAGTTAGATCTAGTCCTTGCCTATGCAGAGCTGAGTGCTTGGGGTAAGACCTGCAGCCAAATGAGCAGTAACTCCAAAGAGTGATTGGTATTTGATAGGGGCTGCTGCAGGAAAGCTGGTCTTTGGAGTATGGGGTGTGGGACGAGGAAGGCATCCTAGAGGACAGGGTGGCAATCCTGAGGCCTGGAGGATGAGTAGATATCGGTATGTGAAGGGGAGAGGCGCATTCTATGCAAAGGGGACAGTGTGTTTTAATAGTGACCTTGCTGAAGCCGGAGAGGGTAATGGTGAGAGGAGGCCAGCAGGGACCGCAGCTGTTGTCAAGTGTGTTTTGGAAGTATCGCCTGTGGCTGCAGCGTGGAGAATGGGGTGGGCCTGGAAGCTCGGAGTCCAAGTGAGGAGGCTGTTGCAATAGCCCAGGTGAAAGATGATTGTGGCCTAGACCTGGGTAGAGGCTGTGGAGGTGGAGAGAAGGGACAGAGTCAGCAGCAAGTGAAGAGGTAGGAATGCCAGGGCCAGTGGGTTGGTGAAGGTGGTGCATGGCGGGGTGAGCTCAGCATGGATGAACCCGGGTTTCTGGTCTGGACAAAGCGTGGCTTGTAGTGCCATTCAGAGTGATAGGCAGCACTGGAGGGGGAGCGGGTTTGAGGGGAAGATGCTGAGCTCCTTCAGGGGTGTTCTCCAGGAGGCAGTCGGATGGGTAGGTCTGAAGCTTAAGAGGCACATACAGAATGGAGATGTTGACTAGGAGTCATGAGCATCTGGTCGTGCCAGGTACTGTGTGCTGTGAGGGGGGATGAGGCACACAGCATTTAAGGACATTGAAAACGTGGGTGGGGTGGGGTACGTGGACAGACAAGGTTGGCAAAAGAGACAAGGGATCATCAGCAGCGGTTGTCTCTGGGCCAAGAGATTGTAGTTGATTTCCTTTTTATTTGTTTCTGTTTTTCTTAGCAAACATGGATTCAGCTCACAGAATGTGCCAGATACTGTTCTGATAACGTTTTATAACTTTTCTCTGAACTCCCACAATAAATCTACATGGTGGGTCCTGCTGTAATAGCATTTTATGGATGAAGAAACAGCACAGAGGGGTTAAGTCATATGTCTCAAGCTACACAGGGTGCAGTTGGTGGGAAACCCGAGCCTGTGGGGTCATCATGCGTTGGTGTCTCCACACTATGCTGTTGTATTTTTATAAATGGGAAAATACTGATTTTTGTTAAACAGCGGTAAGAGGTGAGAGAAGTCGTACTTGGATTTGTTGGGATATCAGAAAAGAAAGGATTTGCATCTGCAAAATCATTGGCTGCCATCGAAGCCTGTTTGAGACCAGCCTGTGCTGGCTCCTTCATGGTGTCGATCACAGTTAACACTTAGTTCTGCACAGCTCATTTTTCTTCAGACACAAGAGCCTCCCTGTGCCGGGTATCATGGAAGGGCTGCTGACAAGATGCAGAGCGCTGCCCGCCCTGGCCACCTGCAGCCACCAGCTCTCTGGGTACGTCCCTCACAGGTTTCACCACCGCACCCCGGGGAGAGGGGAGCGCTTGGTGCTGTCCCGCATGTTCCAGCCCCAGAACCTTCGGGAAGACCAGGTGCTCTCTCTTGAGGGCAGATCTGGTGACCTGACGTGTAAGAGCCAGCGGCTGATGCTGCAGGTGGGCCTGATCCACCCGGCAAGCTCCGGCTGTTACCACCTCCTGCCTTACACTGTCCGAGCCATGGAGAAGCTCGTGCGGCTGATAGACCAGGCGATGCAGGCCATTGGGGGGCAGAAGGTCAACATGCCCAGCCTCAGCCCAGCAGAGCTCTGGCGAGCCACCAACCGGTGGGACTTGATGGGCAAGGAGCTGCTGAGACTGAGAGACAGACACGGCAAGGAATACTGCCTAGGACCAACTCACGAGGAGGCCATTACAGCCCTGGTCGCCTCCCAGAAGACACTGTCCTACAAGCAGCTCCCGTTCCTGCTGTACCAGGTGACGAGGAAGTTTCGGGATGAGCCCAGGCCCCGCTTTGGTCTTCTCCGTGGCCGAGAATTTTACATGAAGGACATGTACACCTTTGACTGCTCCCCCGAGGCCGCCCGGCAGACCTACCACCTGGTGTGTGGGGCCTACGACAGCCTGTTCCACAGGCTGGGGCTGCGCTGCGTCAAGGTCCAGGCAGACGTGGGCAGCATCGGGGGCACCATGTCTCACGAGTTCCAGCTGCCAGTGGACATCGGGGAGGACCGGCTTGCAATCTGTCCCAGCTGCAACTTCGCAGCCAACATGGAGACTCTGGGCTCGCACAGACAAACTGCCCTGCTTGCCAGGGACCACTGACTGAAACAAAAGGCATCGAGGTGGGGCACACGTTTTACCTCGGCACCAAGTACTCCTCCATTTTCAATGCCCAGTTCACCAATGTCCACGGCAGACCATCCCTAGCTGAAATGGGGTGTTATGGCTTGGGTGTGACACGGATCTTGGCTGCTGCCATTGAAGTTCTCTCTACAGAAGACTGCATCCGCTGGCCTGGCCTCCTGGCCCCTTACCAAGTCTGCCTCATCCCTCCCAAGAAGGGCAGTAAGGAGGAGGTGGCCACAGAGCTCACGGCGCACCTGTATGACCACATCACAGAAGCGGTGCCGCAACTCCACGGGGAGGTCCTGCTGGACGACAGGACCCATCTGACCATCGGAAACAGACTGAAGGATGCCAACAAGTTCGGCTACCCCTTTGTGATCATTGTGGGCAGAAGGGCCCTGGACGACCCTGCACACTTTGAGGTTTGGTGCCAGAACACCGGAGAGGTAGTCTTCCTCACCAGAGAGGGAGTCCTGGAATTGCTGAGCCAAGTGCAGGTTGTCTGAACGCCCCCACCCCTACCCCAGGCCTGTCCCACTCCATCTTGCAGCCTTCGTGTTCGTTCTTATGCTGCATTTCTTATACTGCTTTCTGGGGCTGGTCCCCTCCAGAAACAGGACCGCTCCTGGAAGGTGAGACTAAGTTAGGAAAACCAGTTGTTACTCAGTCATTTGTTTGGACTATTTGTATTTAAAGTTGCTAACTTGACCCCTTTGTCTGCACTGGCCAGCTGCCACATGCCATTCCTTTGATACTCCATTGTGGAAGCTTCTGTTTCGAGGTAGAGAGGCAAGAAAGAGCCAAGCTGCCATCTGGGCCCTCAGGCGAGTCACTTCCCTCCTCTCAGTGGAGTTTCCCATGTGTAGGATGGGAGTGGCCGACGGCTGAGGCCCTTCTGGCTCCGGAAGTCTGACCATGGGCCTCTTGCCTTCAGTCCAGCTCTCCTCCATTAAGAAGCTGGGCTGAGGGTCTGGAGAGAAGAATCAGGACACCTGACTGCCACTGACTGACTGGCGACTTGGACCCTCCCCTGCTGGGGCCTCAGTTTCCCCATCTGTGACGTGAGAAAATGGAACTAGATCTGTAAGACCCTCACAGGTGTGACTGGCTGGTTCCCTGAGAGGTTTGTGACAGGCAGATCTGATCCCTCTGTTCCTCCATCATCTAAGCTACCCAGAAAGTTAATACAATTAGCTAATGGCTCAAAACCACCTCCAGAGACATGGCCCTATTGAGGCAGCTTAGCACTGAGATCATGTTGTATTGATTGAATAAAGTCAAACTATTGGGATGAGCCTTGTGTGTTAATTGGAACCAGTGGTAACATTTTACCAGCGCAGGACTTCCTGCCTGGAGACTGTTTCCTTTTCCATCGTTTCTCCACTCAAAAAAGAAAATTGGGTGGCTGGGAAAATGTGTTTTAAACCATTTCTTCCCACAAGTGTCAGGGGCAGCAGGCTTCAAGTGTCGTAGTGACCTTGTCCTGGGTGCAGAGTTGGATCCTGGAGCCATGCACCACAGCGGTGAATATTAAGAGAAGGTCTCTGCCTGAGTCCTGGGGAGAACTGGGAGCAGGCTTGAGCTTTCATTGCTCCTGCCCCTCAGGTTAGGAACAGAATCAGGTTCTCTGTCCTTGGCCTCTAGGGTCGCCTAACAAGAGTCCAACCTAACAAGAGTCTATCAGGGCCAAGCTCAAAGTGACTGCCTCCTGTAACATGCCCGACATTCCTGGCAGCCTTCCCCCTCCAGCTCCTGGCGCTGTCCCTTGCTCAGCACAGTCAGCCTCACTTCTTGCTTGGCGCACAGGTCGCTGTGGGGTGGTCCAGCTTCTTGTCGCTGATGGGATGATCAGCTCCCTGAGGCCAGGGCCTAGGCTGATTCCTAGTGCACTGAAGTTCTTGTCTCTGCCTTCCGAACAGCTTCCCAGCAGCTGGTGACTGCTGTACCTGCCAGAGTAACCTCGCCCCCAGCACACACCATCGGGTTTCTTAATGAATGTAGACACCAAGCCCTAATGACTCCCAGGCCTGCCGCTGGGCTCTGAGCCAGCATTCAGGCCAGGAGGCGGGGATTCTGAGAGCGGACCTAGAAAGGCTGGATTATAAGGCAGGGATCTTACCCTTGGCTGCACAGTGGGAATCCCGTGGGTCCCACTCCAAGGTTCTCTTCCAGGCTGTGGCCTGGGCATCAGCAATTTTAAAGCTCCCCAGATGATTCTAATGCATGAAGTCAATGGAGAGCTCAAGGTACGGGTGGCCGCCTTCTGAGCCTGCGTTGCAGGCGACTATTTGAGTGGTTTCAGTTGTGCGTTAGATTGATGTGAGTTCTGTGCTTTCAGTGGTTGGTCAGTTATTTGTTGAGGGCCTGCATGTGCCATTGTCTGTGAGGTACTTTTATATACTATGTTTAGACCTTAAAACTGTACAAGGTAGGTGCTGTGAAATTCTCATTTTACAGATGAGGAGACCTGAAGCTCCATTTGTGCAATGTCATCAAGGATGCACAGCTGTTTTCATCAGAGCTGGAATCTGAGTATTGATCAAACCTGTGCCCTTCCCACTATACTGCTTAGCCTCTGCCTGGGCGAAATGATTCCAATAAATAAAACCGGATTATTTACATCTGTCTAATTCAAGTTGGCCTAAAATAGCTGAGAAATTAGTATTTATGCAAACGAGTTCTTTTTTTATTTTAAATTTTTGCTCCATAGTTTACGTATTTATAGAAGGCTAGCCTAATGTAAGCGCTTTTAAAAACTAGATTCAAGTAATCGAGAACCAATTAATTTAAAACTCTTCATAAAAGTGTACATTATAGAGTGATTTGATGGTGATGTACAACTGTGGACCGTTAGAATGGGAGGAGAACTTGGAGCCTGCCTGTCCAACCCTCCTTTCACAGATGGGGAGACAGGCCTGGAGTGGGAATTAACCTGCCGCATCCCATCAGACTGGCAAAATGCCTGATTGCAGGCCAGGTGCTACGTCCCCTAAATTAGGCTACCTCGGGTCGATCTTTTTGCAGGGAGAGATGTCTGGCTGGATCAGCCTTTGGGCTGCAAAAAGCCCTACAGGTTTAAAACAGATACATGTCCTCTATTTTCCAAGGGAGACAGATACAGGGAGCTCAGTGATTTGCCCAAGGCCAAGCTGAACTGAAACCCGGGAGTCCTGACTACTTAGCCAGTGTTCCTTCCATTAGCCAGGGACAGTATAATTTGGTGGAGAGATCAGAACCTTGAAGAGACAATCCTAAATCCACCAGTTAGCAGGAATATGACCTTAGACGAATAACTTGTGCTTGTGCATCTCAGATTCTTCATCTATAAGATGCACTCAGGATAGTGGTACCCACCTCCTAGGGTTGTCTGGGGTTGGCTGAGCTGACTTAACATGAAATGCTTAACCTTTAGTGTGCTCTCAGGAAACCCTTCCCTTACATGAGACAACTTAGTAAA